GACCAGTGAAAGCTGGGCAGAGCTCTTCCCCTTGGCCGCCCTTAGAGCATGGCATTCTCCCTATAGAGCAGAAATCATGTATAGGGGATCCCCCCCTTTTGCTCCCTATGTGTGTGACCCTCAGCTAGCAGAAATAACTAACTCTTTCTTAAAATATCTCCAGTCCCTTTCTCAGCTCCAGAAAGACTGCTACCTTAGAGATTTGAGGTATATACCTAGAACCCACAAGAGTGGATGCAGAGCTTGAAAAGTGCCTTCCAACCAGGAGACCAGGTGTACAAGTCTTCCAGAAAGAAAGACTGACCTGTAGGGAGCCAACCTCCTGGGAGGCAAGGACCCCCCCCCCCAGTTTTGAGGAACTGCATTTGAGTCAAGGACTGAATGCACCCTGGCCCCAGCTGTTTCCTGTTATGGCTGGTTCCTGAATAGAGCCATGCCCTTTTGGTCAGCACAGACTGCTGAGAATGCTATTTTTCTCTTAGGCTGTTTTTAATCAAGTTATGTAATTATGACAAAATCATGCCTTCAAGGTACTGTATATAAAGCTGTGCAATAAAGCTGAGGTTGCCTTTTCCTATTGAGGAAAGGTCCTCCTGATCCTGCTATTTTCTGTCTCTCTTTTCCATCCTGCACTGGTCCACTCCCAGGTTTTCTAATAATTTGCTAGGCTGGTTCCTAGCACTGGCCCTCAGGTAGAAAAGCCCCTTCACTGTTATCCTCACCATTACAACTACTTTGAAAGCCAACGGCCTGCCAACATGGATCCACTGCACCTGGATGAAGAAGGAGAAAGAAGACTGCAGAGCCCCCTGGACTGTGCTCCTCCAAGAAGACCTTCTCAAGCTAAGACTGTTACAGTCTTAATTTCATTCCTGTGTGTCCCTGCAGCTATGACCCTCTTTCCCCTTGCCTCTGCTGCCACCCTGTTATACTTTGTACTATCATATGATAAAGGGAAAGAAATAGCAAATGTGTCCTGGAAAAGAATGCCAGATCTAGTCTTCCTCACGGATGTGTGTAAATTGTTCAGTCCTTTCCAAAGTGCTGTTAAAAATGTTCTTTGTTGGCTTTCCTTTCTGGTCATTTGCGGCAAAGCAACATGCATGATGGATGGATGTGGAGATACACAACTAGAAAAAAATATGCCAGTCAGTAGCTTTGTCCCAAATAACTGAGTATATTACTGTGAAAATAACTTCCAGTCCTAGCTGCATCCATATTGGATGCTGTACCTGTAATGCATTTGGAACCTGTAATCCCATCTCCATGCAAGTGCAAAAACTCAATGAGCAGATTTGGAAAACAGGACAGGCATGGAAAATCCAGTTCAGAACTTGCTGGCCATGGGGAATGATATTTAACATTTGGTGATTTGCTCTGCTTCAGAGCCCCCTAAGACCAATAAGGCCTTTAGTCAGATTGAAAGATCCAATGTTTAACTCTTTTTAACCTAAACTTTCAGACCCCCAAGCCTTACCAGCAGCCTTGGCAAGGGCTTCCCTTGCCTCCCATCTTAATGGAAGAGCTTAACAGTAGGCATCAATTTTCACATGTAACACAGCCTGATCTTTGCTTCATGTTGCTGGCTGTGCTTATGGTTTAGACCCCCAAACTATGTGGGTTAGGTAGGCAAACACCACTGACAACTAACAATTGTTCACTCTGTTCCCACTTAAACCTACCTCTTACTCTGGGAGACAATATGCCAAGCGGACAGTCTCTGAACCCCAGGTTACAATTTGTCTAAGTCTCCCTTAAAAGCTGTATGTAATCAAGTTTTGCTTCTGTAATCACTTCACTTAGAAACCCCCCTCCCAACTAAAAGCACAAGTTAAAAACCCTGCTCCCCTGCCTCTCTGGGCCAAGACCTTTCTTGGGGTATGAATCTTCTCTTGGTGCCAACTAAATAAAAGGATCCTAAAACTCAACTGGACTCAGAGTGCTGGGGTAATTCTTGGTAATTCCACTCGCGTTTTGGTACAACAGCTTCAAATAACGTCTGCTGTTCTTGACTACAAGGCATATACTAGGAGTTTCATATATGTTATTATTAAACACCCATAACAGGTATTAGTAGCTCATTTTCACTAATGAATAAGAGAGCAACAGAAAGGGTTAGTTCGTTTGCCTAAAATTGCACCATCAGTAGGTCTTGGTGCTAGGATTTGCATACAATTGTTTGCAATTGTTTGCTTCCCACTGACGCCTTATATACACACCATTTTGCATCCCCCAACAGCACTTTTGCACTGGTTCTCATTTTCTTTAATGAGGAAACTTTGTGAGCTTCTCCTCCTTAGCAATCACACAGCAAGGAGAAAGCCTTGGGGGGACATGGGTTAAGGCTAGAATTGCGTGATGGCACTCCCAGACTGGTGCCATGAGAAACAAACACAAGAGATTCGAATGTGTCAGAGATCTAATTCCAGGCATTTGGGTAAAGAATTACATCCCAAAATCTACTGAGTGTCTTCAGTGAACAAGGTAGAATTCTCCTAGGTAAATCAAACTTTGTAATTCCAACAAAGATGTATCAGCTCCACTGTGGAAGCCTTCCTAACAGTGAAGTTAATTGGAGGGTGAATGCATGACTTCTGACAATATCAATTAATAGAAAAGGGGAATAAGAGAAAAGTTACATGCACAAATAACATTTTCCCATACCTGCCAATTTTCTCTTAAATTTGGAACTCCACAAGGGATGTGGAGTATCAGTATGCTGTATCAGAACCACTCACGTTCTCCACAATTATTGTGCCTTTTTCTGCCCATGTAAGTTCAGACCTTAACATTTAATTAATTTCTCTGTCACACAGAGGTCTATTCAGTGCATCAATGCAATCAGGTAATATGTGAGGACAAAAGCATCTAACAGCTTTTAGAAAGTCAAAGAATGGAAGTAAGTAAGCATATTAGTCCCTAAGTATGAATATGAAACATATTAGTATTTTTCAAAGCTGGTAGGGTTAAGCTTTTCAAAAAATTTATTATGATGGACCATATATAATTTATAATACAATTCTGAATTTCTTTCCAGTCTAACAGAATGAGCACCAGTGAGAAGTGGAATTATTAGTGCATTCTGATCTTTCAGGCTGCACTAATCTGTTTAATCAAAGCCCCATCTCACTCTGTCTAAGCAGGCTGCCTGCCTCCGAAGGGCAAATTGCATCGCATCTAACAGTATGTGTTTTTGAAAGAGAATGCATTTGTTTTTACTCCCTGGATAATGAGTTTAAAATCACTTGGCACTTTTGAAAAAAGACTCAAGTTACATGTATCTTTGTTTATGTGGCTATATTTAAAATTGACATGTGGGTCTGCAAAAAAGAGGGCTCCACACTGTCTTCTCTCTTGCTTAAAAATCTGCTCTAAAACACTGATTTTCTCTGCACATATGTGAAGGATTTGAGGCTTTGAGACCTGAAATATACACACACACACACACACACATACGCATATATATGTATACACATATACACACATACATATATCATATATATGTACATATGGCATGTTAAGAAATATACACACTTGCAAATGTGTGTGTGTGTGTGTGTGTTTTAACATGCCATTTAGCACAGAGTGGCAACAGGATGGCCCAGATCCTATTTTGAGAAGACAAAATAATGAGATGACCTCTAAGGAGACTTGATCAATTATGCTGAGCGCTCCCAGTAGAAACCCTCTTTATTTCACTCCTTGTGCGGTCATGGCTTTTCACAGATACTTGAGAAAGCCTCTCTGAGGTCTGAAATATATCAACATAGTTTTTTCCAAATAGCTTTTAACAGAGGAGCAATGTATTCAAAAGCCAAATAAACCAGAGCTGTGAGAAGCAAGAGGCTTACAGTGTTTTTCATTTTGGTTGACCCTTGAGTATAAACTTTGAAACACAATTTCTCCTCTACTCCTTCCCATAGGAGCTGATACAGAAATTCAGTGAAGGTTTCACAGTGACATTTAATCAACCATGACAGACATTTCCCAGAATGCCGAGCACAGCCCTGCTCCTTCTGAATTGTGTTTTATGCCGTCTCATCATCCCTATGCAAGCTCCTTAATGTTGCAGCTTCTCTGAAATGTGGTTTTAGAGGACACCTACAATAGAACCACTTAGGCTGGTTGTTAAAATCCAATTACTAGGCCCAGTCCAACTTGCCAAATTAGAGTATCTTATCCGAGAGCCTCAGAATCTGCACATTCACAAACATCCAAGAAAAGTAAAGCTTGATGACTGCTCTGCCTAGTCCTAAATCTGCCTTAAGATTAAACTCCTCTCTCCCCACCTCTCTCCCTCCCTCTCTCTCACACACAGAGAATTTTTATTTGCTCTTCCATTTGTCCCTTGGTATCTCTGGAAGATTTGGTCCAGCCTCCTCATGCACAGTGCCCAAATCCACAGATGTGCCAATCCTTTACATAAAATGATGCAGTATTTGGATATCATCCGTGCATGTCCTCCCACATACTTTAAGTCATCTTTAGACTATACCTAATGCAATGAGATGCCATGTAAGTAGTTTTTGTGCTGTATTTTTGTGTTTTGTGTGTGTTATTTTGTATTGCTATATGATTATTTTTTATTATTTCCCCCCACATATTTTCTATCAGTGTTCAGTTGAATGTATGATGGGGAGTGTGGGTATATGAGGAACCAATGCACTGTATGAGAGTCTGCAGGCATAAGGTGGTGTTTATAACCTTTCAAACATTTGCAAAGGCTTAGAGATAAATTTGGTGGACATTGGCTGGTAGGGATTAATAGAAAAACTGGAAAAACATATTAAACAGCTATCCCCTCAGTATTTCATCTTGATCAGTACTCACTGATCAGTTTCTAATAGGAAAAAAATTCAACCAAGAGATTATTTGATAGCCCACTGGACCAATGTCATATCTTCTTAATGAGTGAAATGAAAATATTGTGGCAAGGCACTAATGCATTTAATCCTATTGCACATGGGGTGAATTATGACATTAAGGAAAAGTCAACTCACCACTTCTTCGTGTCTGCATTTTCTCACATTAATTCCATTTATCTGCAATGAAAAGAAGAGCATAGTTTCACCTGGTATATAGTAAACCGACTCAATGTTTGGTTACACTGTAATAAGGATAAGTGTGTACCTGTAGAATTGCATCCCCAATGAAGAGCAGTCCTGAAAGTTCCGCTATGAATAAAAAAGGACAATTGATAATGCAGCTACTATTTGCAGATGAAAAAGTTTTTAATTAAATAAAGGCAAAACCTGTAAATGAAACAAAAACTTAAGTGTTTTATGTAGTATCTTAAAAGGTCCGTAAAGAATGGAACTTCAAAACAATAATGTGACTCAGTCCACTTCAACCACTAAAACATAACACAAGATATTTCTATTTAGTTCTCCTACTTCAGATTTCTGGCTGCTAAAAATTGGTCATTCTTTTGAGGGTGGATGATCAATTTTCTCATGCTCTTACAATTTTGAGGTCTTTGTAAAAAAGTCTGAGATGTAGACTTTCAATCCATCAGATATGGAATTGGCTCCAAGTTCACTTTAATTTAATTTATTTGTTTATTTATTTTGAGACAGAGTCTCACTTGGTCTCCCTTGATAGAGTGACATAGTGTCTTAGCTCACAGCAACTTCAAACTCTTGGTTTCAAGCAATCCTCTTGTCTCAGCCCCTCAAGTACCTGGGACTACAGATGCTTGCCACAACAGATGCCGGCTATTTTTTAAAGACAGGGTCTCACTCTGGTTCAAGCTAGTCTCAAACCTGTGAGCTCAGGCAATCCATCCACCTCAGCCTCCCAAGTGTTAGAATTACAGGCATGAGCCACTCCGCCCAGCCCCCCAAATTCACTTTCAAACATGACATTGTTTTACCAATTTAGATCAGTGCAACAGTGGCTTTATATCTCCATTGCTTTTCCTAGAAGTTTCACCTAAAAGGCTGACTAATGAAAGTTGCTTAAGAGAACTGGAAAACAAATACCTGAAATTGTTTTTACCACGTGTGACTTGTCATTATTAGCTTTGTTTAAAGAAATGATTGAAAAGCTCTGCAGCCCCTAACTCATGCCTGGTACTTAGTTATCTTTCCGTCTTACTGGGCTTCTGTGTGGGAAAGGGTGAGGACTCAGGAATCAAACTTCACAACTTACTGTCAGATCTAGGGGAGTCTGAAGCTCATCACTCATATGCTAATTTATGATTTGAAGGTTTGTCACTTCAAAAACAATGACTTACAAAGGAATGGTAACTGTAAGATTCTCTGAAAATGTTACCTCTTTGTTCCTTGGAGATTTTTGAAACAACAACTGGAATGCTATGTTCTGCTCCTCCCTGAAAAGAGGAAATCATATGTTACATTTTAATCTAAAAAAACACAGCTTTTAGTTAAGAAACTACATAACCTCTGAAGGGAATGTTGAGTAGACACCAGTAGAGTGTCTACTCCCAGGAAACTTATCTACCTGCTTAGAATTTTGCTCAGACCTCCAATAATCAATAACCACTGCCCTTGAAAGTTTTCAGATATCAAAAAAAATCATTAATGTCTTTATATAGACATTCCTTTCAATGTGTAGCAATGCTGTCCATTGTAGGGTTAGGATTAGTTAGGATTTAGTTAGGATTCTAAATATGTATTTCTGTTATCTGGCTAAATTGGTGACTAAGTGGTACAGGGACCTCTTTGGATGGTAAGGAATCAAGGAGCCCTTTACCTGCACAAACGGATGAACCAAATCAGAATGTGCATATGAATGATGAGAGATTCATCTGACACTCCTTAATTAGTGTTGGAATCGTCCTTGTGCAGGAGCACATACTAAACAATTTATAGAATAAACTACCAAGAATATTCAGTAGTGCGTTGTTATTTGACCAAATAAGATATGAAAAAGAAAGACAAGTAAGTACACTAAACTTGTTTAAAATAAAATAAATTCTTAAAATTATTCCATAAAGATCCTATTTCTTTACTATAAAGTTTAGAAGGTTGAAAGCAATAGTCGAAAATCAAGTAAGTACATTAAAGAACGAAATGTGCTGTAGAAAACAAGAACAGTACTTTCACACTGGACGGCTGGAAAGACCGTGTAAATGCCGGTGGAGTTCCTCTAGCTTCAGAATTTGTAAACTTCTAAATTATTTTAGATGCTAAATTATTTTAGCATCAACACCTTTTCCCCATGAACGCCCATTTTTAACAGTGAATTTCCAGCATACTTCAATATAGGACAGTCAAAAGTTTTTGAGAAAAATAGTGATATTCAATTTTTTTGGTTGCAAATTTAGTCCTTTCTAGTTCTGGAATTTTAAGAAGAAAGGACAAATAAGATAGTGAAGACTGTCTCACTCAGATTGAATTTCAAATCTACTACTCAACCAACCAACTTTTCCTCACTATTTTCCATCAACCCACTGTCCATCTACTCCACCTTCAAGTCACTGTCAGAGGCTACAACTCCTAATTTGAGTTCTACCTTTTAGGCTATATGTCCCTAAGAGGCACTAACCCATCCAAAATGACCCTACATCTGACCTAATCAAGAGAATAGTGATTTGTACCTAGCAGTGTGATGGACTTTATCCTAGAGCAGTCTAACAATTGAGATTTAATGAGTAAAAGGAAAAATTAATGAGTAAAATGACATGGCATTAAAGTTCTAAAGAGTATTAGAATTAATCCATTCTAAAACCTTTCGAATTTATTAGTTTAGACTCCACGTTCCCAATCCCTTACACTCTATTCTGGGCTCCCTGCATTATAGATACTTGCTTCCAACCCGCCTTTATCTATTTCTTAATACTTACTGATTTCTTTTCCTTCCCATCCCTAACTAACGCATAAGTTTCTTCAGGGTATTTAATGTTTTATTCGTTTGTCTTGTGCATTGATATAACCCCAGTGCATGGGATGATACCTGCTTTATCCTTGAAATGATTGCTAAATTGAAGGAATGAATGAATAAATGAAGTCTAAAGTTTTTTGGGCCTAGTTTATACTTGCTGACAGCTTCTAGACATACTTTGATATTAGAAAGGATGTGAAGAATACATCTATATCTCTTAGAAGAAAAAGCTATTAACTTGAATAAACCATTCACCGACGAGCTTGGGTGTAGTACAAAAAGGTGAAACAAATCCTGCAGGTATCGTGGTTCAGATATCTGGGCAGACACAACACTCATATGTGGATTTTGTCAGAGTGGCTGTCATTGGAGGGTTTCCCTTTCACTGTTTTTCTCTTTAATGCTGTTCTCTCTTTCCACTACTGAGTCCAAAGATTTTTTTAATGCTCAGACTTTTAATGCAAGTTACCAAGTTGGGGTCCATCTGGAGAAAAGGCCATTGAGAGAAAGATCTTCCAAGGTTTGACTTAGTAATTCCATCCTCCCCTCAGCACCCAGATTTGTACAATAGTTCCCCTCCCCATCTCTATTTTCCCTTCCAGTGGTTTCAGGCATTTAAGGTACAATACAACAGGTATTTTGAGAGAGAGAAAACCATATCATATAACTTTTTCTATGGCATATTGTTATGTGTTCTATTTTGTCATTGTTGTTGTTAAACTTTTCCTACGCCTACTTCATAAATTAAACCTTAGAATATGTATGTACACATAGGAAAAAACATACTACATAGATACAAATGTACACACACAGGCTATCTAGTGGGTTTCATCAATACTGTCTGTGGTTTCAAGTGTCCACTGGGGGTCTTGGAACATATCCCCTGCTAACTAGTGGTGCTACTGTAATTATCTTTTAATGGTAAGATGTAGCTGACCCCTATTTTGTCAACATTTTTCTTTCATATGTAAACTTTCTCCTAAAATTTGAGTGGCTTGAATTCAAATATGGTGTTTATTATTACTATATTCTACTTTTAAATCAGACATCTGTAGCCCTGAGATAATTGTTATATTTATTTAAGAAAACAACTTCATTACTTAGAAAATTTTAAGACAAAATGCAGAAGATAAAACTGGAACTTAATTTCACAGTACCTTCATCAATTGGATAAAATCTGACAGCAGTCTGGCTCTATTAAAGTTAATTAGATTTAATTTAGGACCTAAAAGAGAAGACTTGAGGTGTTCTAGGTAAGAGTCAAATTATGTGGCTCATCCTGTTGAAGCAGGCGATAGGCTTCCCACTGCTCTCAGAGAGACAATGAAAACCCTTGACACCCCTTCCTTCTGCAGCCTGTGCAGCCCGTGGGTTGCAGTGCTGGCATAGAGGCCTTCAATGTTCTGTTCTCCCTGTGGGGTGGGTCTGTTCTTTACTCTGAACCAGACAAATGTCTACTCATATTGATATTTTGGCGAAAAGACTCCTCCTTCAGTGTCTCTTAAAGTAATTTACTTCTGTAGTGGGGGCCATGGCTGTGATTTACCTTTATTCACATAACAATTTGATCAATGTCTGCTTTCCCACTTGAGTGGAAATGGCCTGAGGTCACCATTTTCTCCCTAGGTGCCCTTGTCCCAGGGGTGTGTGTCTGTGTGTATTCAGAGGGGTTGGGGTTTGAGAGGTGTGACTCACAATCCTGGTTCTCCAGTATTTGGTGAAATCAAGATTGGGGAAAGGGAGGCAATGTTGTGGAGAACAGCCCATGTAATAGTGACACAGACTTCCTTCAACTTGGTTGTATTCTTTTTACAAAGCATAGTTGATTTTATACTTAGCTTTGTGGGAACAGGGAAATAAGTTCCATCTAAAGCATTTTGAGGACTCTATACAATGGTTTGCCAGCATAACTGTGAAACAGCACTAAATCAAACCTGTAATGCTTTCAGGGCATCGGGAATCTTCCCAAATACATTTTTTTAGTTTAGTAGTTTTATTATTCCAATGAACCAATCAAGCAATAGATCATATTCTGGGCTTTGGAAATGAGAAAGAAAGAAAAAAAGAAAGAAAGAAAGGAAGGAAGGAAGGAAGGAAGGAAGGAAAGAAGGAAAGAAAGAAAGAAAGAAAATAAAGAAAGAAAGGAAGAAAGAAGGAAGGAAGATGCATAGACCTCCCCAATATTCTTTTATTTAGTATATGGAAAATACTTGTAAGCAGATAACAGCATAGGAATCGGGGTTAATAAATGGACAGGCCCGGGGGAGGCAACTGAAAAATCACCTGGAAGAATGTGGCAAGAGCCATCCCCACCTGAATGCAGCCTTTATCCTCCCAAATCACTTAATTTGCATTTGGCAAAATTAATTATCTTTCCTATGTACTATACCACTGCTTTCATGTGAAAGTCCCACAAACGGAAATTTATTAAGACAAAAGGGAGATTAGTGGTTGTGCAGGGCTGGGTCACGGGAGACGGGCAAGGAGGTGGCAGCTACAGGGAATGGGCGTCTTCTTAAAGGGAAGCAAAGCTCTGAAGTTGACTGCGGCGATGTTTTCACAGGTCTGTAGATACACTAAAACGCTTGAATTTACACCTTAAATGCTTACACTGTGTGCGATGTGAATTATATCTCAATAAAACTGTTTAATAAAAGTACTAATGTTCTCTGAAAAATAATTGGCAGTGTTTTTAACTGATTCTTGGGACTAATCTATAATGCATTTTCTAGGAAAAGTACACACCTATCTTACCTGTGGTATAAACAAATAACTCAGACTTTAGTAAAATAGAATGGGAGGACAGAATGGAGAGCAATGTAGTGCACTTGTCCCACGTATCAACAGATGTTCTTCAGAAACTTCTGCCCAGAAATTACTAATAAGTTAAAAGGCAGAAATTTATTACAGCTACTATACAGATATTTTAATTTTGAAAATTTGATGATTAGTATACAACCCTTGATGCTAGGAAATTACTTGTTTGATCCTGGTCATTTTTATACATTTACTTCTGTTTTAAATAAACCAGAATGTTAATAACATAGAAAGGAAACTTGATTTTCAGGTAGAAAATTTAGAGATTATTTATTCCAGGTTTATAGCTCTGACCATTGTTATTAAGAGTAAGGACTTTGCCATTAGCTCTATGTGGGTTTCAAGCCCAGCTCTGCCACTTATAACCATGACACTTAATCAACTTCTTGATACTATCTGTGGAAGAGATGATAGTACCTGGCTACTTTGCTGAATCATAAAGCCGAATTAAATAGCATGTAAAGTATTTAACTCAGATTCTGGCACTTAATAAGCAAGTCATACATATTAGTAATTATTACCTGTAAATAACAAGATGATTAGGGGTGATAATAATAATTATAATTATATATTTGATTGCTGCAAAGTTAAAACTGCCAAACAGAAATCACCTTTGATTGCATACATTTTCTTTATTGAATTATCTAAATTATAGATAATTTAATTTTA